GATTGAAAAATATTTCATCAACAAATGAAGGAGCCGCAGTCCTGCACAACAATTCAGCGCTGATTTATGGGGAACAAACTTTAAAGGTAATTACCAGCACTGTAAGCACACTGAGGATATATGTGTGTGTGTGTGTGTGTGTGTGTGTGTGCTATATGTGCTTCTGTACGTGTGTGGGACAAGATGAGACTCTTTCTCTTTTTCTGCTCGTGTTCTTGAGCCGAATAATTCTTGTGTTTTAAAGTAAAGCCGTTGTGTTTCTGGAGCTCAGAGACTGATTGTGAGAGGATTTTGTTTCATAGTGATGCATAAAAGATCCTCATGGTGATGAAAAACACCTAAAACAGGTCACTGCTGTCCTTTTGTTTGTCCTTTTTATTATGTTATCAGTTGTTTTTAGTTTTTCTCTTTGTTGTTGTTGTATTTAGTTATTATTTTTGTCTGTTCTTTTCACATTTTCGGTTTCATTTTCGGTTTCATTTATTCAGTTTCTTGTTTGATAATTTATTCTTTTTTATTTTTTTTATTCTATTGTTCATTTGTTCTCTTCTGTTTTTATTTATTTATTGTTTGTTTTCTTTTGATGTTTTTTGTTTGTTTACTCTTATTTTTTCTTTCATATATTTTTGTTCTTTTGTTTATTCTTTAATTTGTTCACTCTTTTGTTCATTTTCTTACACTTTCGTACCTTTTCATACTTTTTTTATTTGTTCATTCTTGTTTTTATTACTTACACTCCTTTTCTGTTTGTTTAATTATTCTTTTCTTCATATTTTTTGTTGTGTTTTGTTTGTTTACTCTTATTTTTTCTTTCATATATTTTTGTTCTTTTGTTTATTCTTTAATTTGTTCACTCTTTTGTTCATTTTCTTACACTTTCGTACCTTTTCATACTTTTTTTATTTGTGCATTCTTGTTTTTATTACTTACACTCCTTTTCTGTTTGTTTAATTATTCTTTCCTTCATATTTTTTGTTGTGTTTTGTTTTTGTTTATATTTTGTTTATTACTAAATATTTTTATTTAGTTAGTTTTTTTCAGTTAATTCATTCTTAAATTTGTTAAAATTTAAAATTTTGCTTAAATTTGTTTTTCTTTTGTTCATTCTTTCACTTTCTTTCATTTTACTTTCACATTTTTCTTGTTTTTTATTCATTCTCGTGTTCATTTCTTCTGCTTTTTTTCTTTCATTCATTTTTTTTTATTATTTTTGTTGTATTTTTTTTTTGTTCATTCATTTTTGTTTATTATTTTTTCTTTTATTATTTTTCCTTCATTCATTCTTCCTTTTTCTTTCATTCTCTTACTCTTTCATACTTTTCTTGTTTTATTTGTTCATTCTTGGGTTCATTTCTTTCATTCCTTTTCTGCTTGTTTTTCTTTGTTAATTTATATCTATTTATATCTACCATTTGTTTATTCTATTGTGTTCTTTTGTTAATTTATTTTGTTTATTTTTAATGCTTTTTTCATTCGTTCTTCAATTTTCACTCTTTTGTACATTCTTCTTCTTTTGTTGCTTTTTGCTCATTCTTTTCTTTTTCTTCTGCTTCCTTTTCAGTTTTTTCTTTCTTTTGTTCGGTAATACTTGTTAGTTTATACTTTCTTTGATTTGTTTTGTTTTTGTACTTTAGTTTATTCTTTTTTTTCACTCTTTTGTGTTTTCATTCATTCTGTCATTTATGTTTCACGTGTTATTTTTCTCCTCACACACATAATCACAGACATTAAACTCCCTCCTGCTCCGTCAGACGTGTCTGGATCATTAGTTGGACTCTCACGTCTGATAATCTAACACATTTAATGAGTTACACAGGTCGACCGCTGCTCGTGGTGTGAGACTGAAGCGTCTCTGACATTTTATCACACTTTCCTCAATGTCTGTAACACACAGTCCTGCATCACTGGGCCAGACTTTGACCTTTTTGAGTCCAATAAATGTCTGTGTTTGTAGTAGATCTCAGACAATGACTGATGTCTTACTCCAAATACATTTTAGAGGAGATAGTGCTGGAGAAACCTGCATATCATAATTGGTATTATGTAAAAATAGATCATTGTTGTGTGAAAGCAACAAAACACACGGCCGTTCACCATCCGCTCTGCTGTTCCAGGGACATTACAGCGCTCTAATTACTGACCCGCGTGTTTGCAAGACCTGATTAAACCCGCCTGCCTCTCTAATAACTGGTTTAAAGCACATTTCTCTAGTTCCCTTTTTTCCCAGATAAAACACAAAACAACAATAATTAGCCATTTGTGCCACCGCATATATAATAAACCCATCCGTTCTGTTTAAATCGTGTGCTATAAACATAACATTTTATTTAAATGAAAATATGAAATACAGTTAGAACATTTTGAAAATATTTGTTATATCTCTTTATCTTCCAAAATTTTGTAGTAGTACTGTTTTGATTTGCTTGCTATTTACAATTTTTTCAAAAATGCAAGATTATATGAGTTTGTTTCTTCGTCAGATTTGGAGAAATGTAGCATTGCATCAGTGTCTCAGCAATGGATGCTCTGCAGTGAATGGGTGCCGTCAGAATGAGAGTCCAAACAGCTGATAAAAACATCACAATAATCCACAAGTAATCCACAGCACTCCAGTCCATCAGTTAACATCTGGAGAAGACAAAAGCTGAAACTAATCCAGCATTAAGACGTTTTTAACTCAAATACAGAGTCCATAATCCATAATAAGTCTTCCTCCAGTGAAAAAGTGGTCTGGTCTGAATCAGGAGAGAAATCTGCACAGATCAAGCACCGTTTACAAGCCGAAACAGTCCAGAACAGCTCTAAACAAATTTGTGGCTGGATTTTGATGTGAGAGACAACAGGAGATGGACTTCTTCACTGGAGGAAGCGTAATTATGGATTATGGACTCGTATTTTAGTTAAAGAGGTCATATGATGCTATTTTAAAGATCATTATTTTGTGTATTTGGTGTAACAGAATAAATGGATGCTCTGCAGTGAATGGGTGCCGTCAGAATGAGAGTCCAAACAGCTGATAAAAACATCACAATAATCCACAAGTAATCCACAGCACTCCAGTCCATCAGTTAACATCTGGAGAAGACAAAAGCTGAAACTAATCCAGCATTAAGACGTTTTTAACTCAAATACAGAGTCCATAATCCATAATAAGTCTTCCTCCAGTGAAAAAGTGGTCTGGTCTGAATCAGGAGAGAAATCTGCACAGATCAAGCAGCGTTTACAAGACAAAACAGCTCGAAACAAATATGTGGCTGATTTTGATGTGAGAGACAACAGGAGATGGACTTCTTCACTGGAGGAAGCGTAATTATGGATTATGGACTCGTATTTTAGTTAAAGAGGTCATATGATGCTATTTTA